ACCCGTGACTGTGCAGTAGGGGTTTAGGGTTTCAATGTTTATTGTTTAGTAGCATATGGGCTTCTTTGATGAGACCATCAAGTTGAATCATTATGTTATAGCCGTTAGTATCTCAGAATGCTCCATAGTTGCATGCGCTTACGTATGTAGTAATTACGTATGTATATATGAGTGTGGTGCTCCCTGATGCAGATCTTGGTGGTTATTGCTTATTGTTTTTGTGACGTCCTGATTTGATGCCTCCATAAACGAGCGACTCTTAGTTGTATGAAGGGCATACACACAGGTGTGTTGTAAACATGACAAATGTGATATGCAATGGGAATCATTCCGTGTATGTCATGATGCCTTCCATCTAATCAGATCGCACTTCACACTAGGTAAACCCACCCTCCACACTCATTTCTTGATACCCTTCCTATAATCTGGATGCACACCACCCTAGGCAAACTTACAGCGCCGTTCCCTTGGGGCCCCGAAACCTTTGCCAAGAGATGTGGCAAACGGCGTGACCTGCACGTGTGGTATAACCGTCTGCTGGACGAGCATGCACCGAGCTTCCGAGTGAATATCATCGATGTAGACTTCTGTGAGAATGACTTGCGATTCGTCAATGTGATTATAAATAGTAACAGCAGGTTTGTACCGCGCATGGGGGTGTTGGGGGATGGGACGGTGGGGACAGCGAGCGGTCTCATGGCTAACACGAATACGACAACCACAAACGGAAATATGACATCAGCAAATGGAAACACGACAATGGCAAATGAGAACACGACATCAACAAATGTAAATACAGCAACTTCAAATGGGAATACGACAACCGCCGATGCGAGCACGGTGCACGATGGCAATACCGTATCCTTTGCCGGCCATTCAAGCGGTATGGGGGTGGAGCTCATGGCGTCGGGCATAAGTCTGTCCACAAATTCGAATAGAGAGAGATCGGAAAGTGTCGGCACATCACACGACATGTAGAGATAGGATCGCCACAACCAAAGAACTACGGCGCACAACTATGACATTAACCCAGCTCAGCGAGCTAGCGAATACAACCAACCTGGTGTCTGACGGCTCCTGGAGTTTATAGTTCTGACAAGTCACAGAAATCAAACCGGGAAGAGTTCGGCCACGCACTTCAGCTTCGGTGCACATTTTACTCGGCATTGAAAGAACGACCAATGATTGTTTAGCGATAAAGTATTTGGCAGTGTATGTTCACGCAACGCTGGTTATCCAGTGTACCACATTCTGGTTACTTCTGCTCACTCAATTGAGGAATCGGTGCTAGAAATAGAATCTACCTAGAAAGAGGTCTGCCCCAAAGTGGATCCTATTTGGCACCAATAGAGGGCTGATAACCGTGCGGCGATTTACTTCTGGAAGGTTGTATTCTCATATCGCTGATATGGGAAACGTACAACACTTTTCTGGCGTTGGGTTTAGCAATCAGTGTAAAGATAGAAGCCACCTTGAACGAGTTGAGGCCTCAAGGTACAGTCTTTATCACGCTACGAGTGTGCTGATGACTATGTAGCGACTTACCATAAAAGAACACTCACGACGAAATTATGGACAGTGGACGGTGCTGTGACATTGCGATTCTTGGCTGGGACATATCAGATATAAGGATGCGCAAATGAATGCTGTTAAATGGGCGGGCACTGAAAAGCTATCCAAACGGACGATTGACATCGACAAAATACATTCGATTTTTAGGTCTCATGATGTGCCCTGTAGGAGAAGCAGAAATAGTGCGCGAACGCAGAGATAGCTTTCATGGATAGAGAAATCGGTTTTACTCGTATTGTTCAGTCAATTCAAAAAAGCTCATTGTGGTCACGCATAAAGTCGCGACGCTGTATTTCCGTGCTAGCATTTAATTTATCTATGTATTTCTATATATATATATATATATTATTGTATATATT